TCAATATCAACTAGTGATGCAAGTGGACAAAATGAAGTTGATGAATTGTTCGAACATGGTATACATTGAAGAACTGCATTATCAAATGTACCAGGATTTCGAGTACGTGGAGGACAAATTTGACATGGACCTAAACTTGAACGATTTTTATATGTTCCACCAATACAAAGTGTTGGTTGAAAATAGAATGCAAATACACGTTCTATAGTATCAATCCATATTGATGTATAACCAGCAGAAGCAAGAGGAATAATTAAAATATCAGCATTATCTGTAAGTATAGCCATATTACCTTCACTTGTAATGCCGAATCGAGCAAAAGATGGACGTGATAAACGACTACCTAATATTTGTTGATTATTAGGAAAAGTAAAGAGAGAAGAATTCAACATCACTGAACGTTCATCATAAAAGAATACTTGTGATTTCGACCAAGATGTTGTATCTGGATCTTGAACTAGTACAGCAATTGTTGTATCATCTGCCCAATCTACGATACGGCCAAATGAAGTAGCATCAGGATAAGATAATGTATATATACCGGTAACATTTAATGATGATCCAAGATTTCGAACAATGACAACCGTTGAAAGTCGATGCACTCCAACAAGAACTTTTTGACTACGAATACTAACTGATAATTCATAAAGTTCACTGTATGAGATGACATTCGATGGTACTAAATATGTTGTTTCAGAAGTAAGATTCGTACAAGATGCATTTATTATCATAGAAAGATCAATTAAACATCCAAGTGCAGCATAATTTTTTTTCACATCATCTAAATATCCATAACCAGCAACTACTGCCCATGTATCAGCTACATCCATAGCATGTAGAATAAAGCCCAATGATGGCCAAACAGAATTCGTTGAAACATTTAAAGTAATATTATTAGCATAAATATCCAATTTAAATGCAAATGAATTTGAAAAACCATAAGCAAAAATACCATTATTATCAACACCAATAAGAAAATATTCTTGATGAAATCCTCCTGTACCCATATCTGTACATTGAACTGTAGAGATACATGTTGATTTCATTATATGACCAATACAAACATATGGAGTCATTGTCGACATTTTTTCGGCAGCAAAAACAAATATAAAATGTTCAGCATTAGTACTATTTTTAGCAATACCAACTACACCTACACTATGAACATAACGATCAGTTGTATTGTATCTCATGCTACATCGTGTAGTTGTTGTGTTAGTAGTATTTCTGAATGGATGCATGATAACAGCAAAGTTAGAAAAAGCATTTGATGCTGATACAAACATATCATCATTAATAGACATTTTTGTACCTCGAATGACATTGTTTAAATCATATTGACACCATGAAGTATGATAAGAAATAGTAAGAAGAAATAAAATGCAAATGAACATTTCGATCTATAAGTACTTGCAATATATTTTATTCTAAAAAGAATAAT